GTGAAGTTACAGGAAACTCTGGGAGCAAGGCTGAAGAGGGGGAAAAAAAAAATGACTTGAAAATTCACCATCCAAATTATGCCAAAATAATGAACAGCTATAAATGTATGGTCCATATCGTTTTCATATTTCTAAATAGTGCTTTCAGGAAGGAAGTGCTTTCTCTCTGGCAAAGACTCAATGAGAGGGTATGGAAAAGTCTCATTGAAAAAGTTACTTTTAAGATATTTAAGACTACTTTTTAAACATAACATAGTTTTGCTTATGGGCTTCAACAAACATCAAGAGGCTGTTTTGAGATCTGTTTTAAACAAATTCTAATTTAGGATAAAGAGAAGCTATTCCAGCGCTGGACCAAAGATTCCTGAACCAAATTATTTTTGTGTTTTAAGCAAGTTTCCTGGGCTTGTAGTCTGGAGGTGCCAGGGCACCTCAGCCTGCCTTAACCTACCTGCTCTGGGCTGGTAGAGTTACACCGAGAGCCAAGCTCAAGGGCCAGTTACATGTATTTCTTCCCAACTCTGCATCCAGTGGTCTCATATGGTGACTTGAAATTGGCCATGATGAAAGAATTTATACCACAGATACTGGCCGGTTCTACAAATCACACCTTTATTCCCTGAGTTAGTCATTTAAATTTTTGCCAGAATATCTGTTTCTACTGATAACTTTAGGACACTTGCTTTGAAAACTCCGTGTTGGTCTGATTATGTGGAATTGTTTGCTTTCAGCATTTAGTTGCCGCTAACTCTTAGACAAGTTCTAGGGACTCGGATTTAGTTTCCGGAGCCGTGCAGGCTGGACTGGGTGGGGCCTGGGCCTGGGGAGTTCAGGCAGGGGCTTCTGATGAGCTCTGTGGCCTGTGTCCCCGCTCCCGCCAGACTATGTGCTGTCCCACCCGGATCCTCACTGCTGGCAGCTAGAAGCAGCCGCCGTGTGTCCCGAAGAGTTTGCTCGGTGAGGAATTCCCAGAGCAAGGCTCTCTCTGCTCTGTGGTCACATTTCCTGGTGAAAGTCAAAGGTCTTTTTGTTATCGCTTACTTATATCATCCTGTGTTTTCCCCAAGTCTGCCCCCTGCGCACAGTTTGCAGGGCACACCTTCGAGCATTGCGACAGTCTGTTTTCTGGGATGAAATAAACAGTACGTGCAAGGACAGAGTACATGGGAACAACATCTTTGCATAAGGGTGACTTCTAATGAGATCAAAGCATTGGATAAAAGTGGTCACATTCTCACAGTCCTGTACGCACGATTGTGGGGCAATGAGAATGCCGTGCCCTGGTTTCACGTCTGGCTTGTGTATAGAGCTGGGCTTGGCATTTCAATAAAAAAATGGCAAAGGTTTGGCCTGGTTTACTGGTGAGACGTTTTGTGTGGTGTGGGTGTATTACATACAGAACTCTCCCGAGGCTCGGGCGGGAATGAATTGTTCCAGTCTCCTGCAAGTGCCATAATTCATTAGCCACTTGCACCTGTCGTGCGGCAGGTTTCTTTCCCAGCGGGAACCAGGCCCCCTCCAAGCAGCCACCCTCTCCTGGGACTGAAGCAAAAGTGCAGTGTTGCGGGTGCACGTTGCGTCTGTTGTCTATTTGCATCTTCGACCTTCTTGTTGGGCGCCTTTCCAACTCTTCTGGCTAAAGCGGCATTGCTTTCCCTTTGAACTAAATATTTTTCTCTCTTTACAACCCAATTTATGAATATTTGAAATACTCTGTGTGTGGGGGGGGGGGCGGGGAGTGTACAGGGGACTGTGGAAAAGAAGTTTAAGAGAAAAAACAAAATCCAGATTATAGACATGAACTTTGCCAATAGACACTTGGGACGCTTTGCCAAACCTGGTGCTTCCTTCCTTCGGGGAGGTCATTCTTGAAAAATTGTGTCTGTCCTTCATCTCAGTAGAAGTAATTTATTGCCATTCATTTTCAACTGTACTTTCACATTTCAGTTTTCTTGTACTATTTTTGGTAGAAAATTGGCAGCCTTGAGTTGCCAACCATGCAGGGAAATTTTTAAGTCTTTAAAATTTTTTTTTCAGTATCAGTCGTAACTTGATTTGTATTTTATAAAAAGTACTCCTTTGGTTTTTGTCTTTTCCTCTTTGGACTCTCTTAACTGTATTTGAAAATGGACACATGATGAAACCTAATAATAAAATTCTGAGCACAGATTTCTCTCTTGGCAACATTCTTGAACCATGATCATACTTTTGTAATGCTGTGTCCTAAACACCAGAATGACATTTATAGCTTGCTAGCTGTTGAGCCCGCTTAACCTTGAACCAGCTTCAAGGCCTTCTTGTCAGCATTAGCAGACAGAGCCCCCTGCTGGAAGTTCTGGGGACCAGATTTCCATTGGAAATGGAGGTGGGGCAGGGGGAGGCAGGGGAGAGAGCTGGGGGGAGAGGGCTGAGGGGACGGGCTGTCCCAAGAGCTGGGAGACCAGGAGGCTGGAATATGACCAATGCTGTGAAAAGAATAGATGGCATGCTTTTGACTAACTGCATGAGTTAATATCTCAATGAATGTTTTTCAATAGCTCTTCATGTCCTATTGAAAGTTTGGGTGATAAAGGCAGGGAACCTGATCTCTTCCAATCATGGACTGTTTCTCAAATTGGTATTTCCTGAGAAAGATTCTTTAGGTTGTTGATAGGTATGCAGGAAGAAATGGGGTCCTACGGTGCAAGTTAAGTTTTGAAAAGGGTGGATTAAATACAATCAAACATGATTCTTGGTTGCAGCACTTATCAGAGTCTTTAATATGAAAATAGTATTTCAAACAAGACACTGAGCTTCCCCTAAAATTGTTGGGCTGTGGACCTCTACGTGATACTCTTATTAATGTTTTTGGAAGTGTTTCACAGAATATCAATGTAGGAAATCCACTGATGTTCCTCTCATTTTTTTCTAAGAGTTCTGTTTTAAAGAATATTTTATTTCAATTTTATTCTAATGTTTCCAAAGTATACAACATTGAAAGCTATTTCTGATCAATATTTTTACTGTTGTTTTTAATGCTGAGAGACACAGTACTTTGACACTTAATGATTTTTTTTAAAAATTATCTTGAGTCTAATTAATCTTGGATCTTTGTTCAATGTTTGTGCTAGTCTTACCAATATCTTTGCTTAGACCCAAATTCACTAATATTTTGTAGATATTACCTTTCCTTAGCTTCTATACACATGCTTTGTTTTAACAATTGGCAGTTTAAAAAAAAAGTAAGACTTAAGAGTTGTAGGCAAATACAGTGTTGATTCTATATTGGAAAAAAGCATACTGGTCTTATACAAACACTACAAAAACAAACTCCTCTCATAAAATCAAAAGCTGCCTGAAAAGGAAGGCTTCTTATTTTTATTAGAATTACAGGGCTTTCTCTTAAAATCTGCTACTTTAAAAACATTCCTCTGGGATCATGGACAGATGCTTTTCGTTTTCTAACTGTGACTGACCAAGAGGGATATGTACTAGAAACATTAGAAATTAGAAATTTCTAATTTTGCCAGATTTCCAGCTTGAAAGCTTTACAAGGTTCTAATCGTGCAGATCACGTTTTAGTAAACAAGTGTTCTGTCTCAGCCAGATCTTCTGTTTCCCAGGGGTCTGTTCCTAGTCATCGTATCACCTAAAACGCTGAGACCCAGTACACAGGTTTTAGTCCCCTATGTCCTCCAGCTGTGATTAGTTTCTAGAAGACAGCGCTCCCCGGTTCCCCCGGGAATGCAGGTCCACTGGCTGAGCTTCAGCCTTGTTCTCCGGAGGAGTGCATCACGTGGCCCCCCTGTTAGATGTAGGCCACTGCAAACTGTGGAAGAACGTGGTCAGAGTGATTAGGGTCATGCGGCGCTTACTGGACTGTCTCCATTCAGGACTTGCATTCTGGAAAGATTCTCGGCTTTAGGCGGAGAGCTGCTTTGCTCAGGAGGGAGAGAAAATTAATTCTTCAGTCCGAGATCCTCCTTCTCGATGCTGTGTCCTGAGGTTGTTGGTAAATTCTGCTCTCACCCTGCTGATTCGGGGTCAGAAGGCATCTGCTCCAGCTTCTGACTTGGAGGGCTCCAGCAGGAGAGAGACGTGCTGTCTGTTCTTCTGGGACAGGGGTGATTCCACCCAGAGCTCCCAGACCAGGGCTCTCAGGACTTACCAGTGACTTCATGGAACCTCCTCCAGGGCTGTGCATCCTGACTCTGCAAAAAAAAGCTTTCCTTCTGTGTGCTTCTCCTTTGAGAAAGACCAATACATAAATATTTGATTTAAATCAAACACACTTACATGTATGGGATAATTGTGCTGAGTGGCTCAGTCGTTCGGCTGTTTGCAACCCCGTGGACTGTAGCCCACCAGGCTCCTCGGTCCATGGAATTCTCCAGGCCAGAATTAGATAATTGCTTCTTGCCATGACAGAAATACTCTTTACTCTGAAACGTATTTGATTCCTTCAAATGCAAGGTCGCTGTAAATATGATGGACATGTGAAAGAACAAAAAGTCCTTTTCAGGCCCACAGCTGCTGTGAGCATGGGGGCATGGCTGGCCTCTGTGCCCTGCACTCCTGAAAACAAAATGCATCATCCCAGCTGTCCCGGAATAGTGCCTGGCGCCTCCTCACTCCTTCCAAGGGGGGGTCCCAGGCAGAACTCAGAGTGCCCGACAATTCTCAGGACATGCTTCTACCCAACAGTTACTCCCTGTCCATCTGAAATTTGAACTTAGCTGGCATCCTATTTCTATCTTCTAAATCCAGCCACCCTAATTCCAAGTTCCTTAGAGCCTTCACAGACCAGACACTAGCTTTTCTAAAAATGACTTGTGTTCTGAGACAAGGAGGTAAGTCGAATGGCAGTTTTCTTTACAGACAACCCACTAAACTCTCAAAATTCACACTGTGGTCAGTTCCCACACTCGTGCCAGGACCTGGGGCTTTCTCTGTAGGATGACGTGGAAGCTGCCAGCCGTTCTGCACCACTGCCCCTAAAAGCCTAACCGCTCAGCTGTTACCTAAGGATCCGGCGGCCCGGCCACACCTGACCTGGGAACAGGACATCTTATTCTGGAAACGAGGCCTCCTCGCGCCGGAGGGTCTGGCTCCCTCCCAGCCTTTCCAGCGCCTCCTCCTGCAGGAAGCCCCCAAGGGGTGCTGCTCACACCTACCTCCTCCCCCGCCTTGTGCTCTTCGGAGCCCCAGGTCTGCTCTGCTGACAGCGTATTCAGTGGCGCTCACGCTGTGCTCTGACTCACCTCTGTGCCGTCATCTCTCCAACCTTGCAAAGACCTTGGGAGCACAGTTTTGAGTTTTTCTGGCGTTCCCTCATATATTGTGCACTATTCTTAGCAAGTGTTTAGTAAACGCTTCCTGAATGAATAAAAACGTCATCCCGACAGAAGTTCAAGCCATACACTCAAGAGATTTAGCCTGACAATCTGACTAACATGTTCAAAAACCCATTTTTCTGTGAAATAGCAGATCTTACCAACGGCTCTTGTAATAATCCTTGTGGAGTGGAGGGGAGGGTGGAAATTTATCAGCTTCTTTTAATACCAGAAAGATAATCCCACAGCCCAAGCTTCATCCTGGCAATTATGTCAGTTCTTTGTTGCTCTGCTTTAGATTCTGGGTCCTCAGTTCTCAGGGAATGTTGGGGAGTGAACTGGGTCTTCTACTTTTTTGGTCCAAATTCTCCTTCTCTCCACCCCACCCCCTGACCCGTGCAGCTCGCCCTATAACTCTTAAACACTTTGCCTCACGAGGTCCCTGTCTTTGCTACTGTTTCTCCTTCCACTTAATCAAAACATTCTTTGGTTCCTCTTTCTGATTATCTTGGAAGAGAGGAGAGAATTCTGACTTTGGAGTCAGAAAGTCTGAGTTCAAACCCTGCTTTGAATTCCTTCCAGGGCTCAACTGGATCCCAGCGCCTTGTCCTGCCTTGGAGAGCAGAGTGGAGGGCTTGGGGGTGGTGAGTAAAGCGACAGAGTGTGACGCTCACCATACTCGGAGCGCCCAGCGTGTAAGTGAGTGAGTCAGCCATCAGAGTGAACGTTTCTCACCCTTGCACTTTAGAGATCTGGAGAAGGACAGGTGGGCTACAGCCCATAGGGTCGCAAAGAGTCAGACACAACGGAGCGAGTGGACAATAGAAAAACACCCAAAACTGCACGCTTCACCCTCCCCGCCACCCCTGACTCCTCAAGGCCTTCCACTCATTGGCCCAGGAGGGCGGCTCTGTTGATTATCCCTCCATTGACTCCCTTTCCAGGCATAATCTGAGGCCCATCCTGTCAAAGTAAACGTTTGGTTTCCCAGCCTGCTCAGAAATGAGGTATGGATAATGAAAATGAGTCACCGGTGGTCTCCTCTGCAGGGTGTTTCAGGGGAGTCTGTATTTGGGGTTACCCTATCCGCTAGGAGGAGAAGGCAAGGGCATCCCACTCCAGTCCTCTTGCCTGGAAAATCCCATGGATGGAGGAGCTTGGTTGGCTGCAGTCCACGGGGTCGCGAAGAGTCGGACACGACTGAGCGACTTCACTTTCTCTTTTCACTTTCATGCATTGGAGAAGGAAATGGCAGCCCACTCCAGTGTTCTTGCCTGGAGAATCCCAGGGACGGGGGAGCCTGGCGGGCTGCGGTCTATGGGGTCGCACAGAGTCGGACATGACTGAAGCGACTTAGCAGAAGCAGCAGCAGATCCACTAGGAAGTAGCATGGTACCGTCTTACGGTCGAATTTCAGGTAAGGAGTCGTGTGCAGTTGGCCCTGGCTGCTCACCTCGGAGGCTCTGAGGTCACTTTGTTGTCCTTGGAGATGAGAGGATGGAAGAAATGATGCTGAGAGCTCCCCCTGCCATCAGTTTCTTTGCTTTAACAAAATTTTTAAATGTTTTTGTTGATATTTCTGATGGGCCAAGAAGTTGCTTTTAAAAGTTAAAATTTTAGGAAAAGGGTTAGTTGCTTCTTTTTTTTTCAAACTGTAATATATACAGTGCACGTTATCAGTGACAGCTGACTCACTGCCCTTCATCATCATGACCCCCTTGGAGGGGAAGTGCCCCTTTATCTCAGGGGGCCTGACAAGACCTCAGTGCGTTAACTGGAAGTATGGATGGTACCAAACCAGAGAAATACCATGTTTTCTCCTGTACAGACACATCTATGATCAAGTTTAATTTATAAATTAGGCAGAGTAAGAGATTAACAACAGTAAGCAATAAAATAGAACAATTATAACAAAACGCTGTAATAAAAATTATGTAAGTGAAGCCCCCCCACCTTCCAAAATATCTTACTATACAACTTTATTTTTATTTATTTATTTATTTATTTTCCATTTATTTTCATTAGTTGGAGGCTAATTACTCCACAACATTGCAGTGGTTTTTGTCATATATTGAAATGAATCAGCCATGGATTTATTCCCCATCCCGGTCCCCCCTCCCACCTCCCTCTCCACCCCATCCCTCTGGGTCTTCCCAGTGCACCAGGCCCGAGCGCTTGTCTCATGCATCCAACCTGGGCTGGTGATCTGTTTCACCCTAGATATACCTGTTTCGATGCTGTTCTCTTGAAACATCCCACCCTCGCCTTCTCCCACAGAGTCCAAAAGTCTGTTCTATACATCTGAGTCTCTTTTTCTTTTTTTGCCTATAGGGTTATCGTTACCATCTTTCTAAATTCCATATATATGTGTTAGTATACTGTAATGGTCTTTATCTTTCTGGCTTACTTCACTCTGTATAATGGGCTCCAGTTTCATCCATCTTATTAGAACTGATTCAAATGAATTCTTTTTAATGGCTGAGTAATATTCCATGGTGTATATGTACCACAGCTTCCTCATCCATTTGTCTGCTGATGGGCATCTAGGTTGCTTCCATGTCCTGGCTGTTATAAACAGTGTTGCGATGAACATTGGGGTGCACGTGTCTCTTTCAGATCTGGTTTCCTCAGTGTGTATGCCTAGAAGTGGGATTGCTGGGTCATATGGCAGTTCTATTGAGGTACCATTACACGCCAGTCAGGATGGCTGCTATCTAAAAGTCTACAAGCAATAAATGCTGGAGAGGGTGTGGAGAAAAGGGAACCCTCTTACACTGTCGGTGGGAATGCAAACTAGTACAGCCACTATGGAAAACAGTGTGGAGATTCCTTAAAAAGCTGGAAATAGAACTTACTATACAACTTTAATGCTTTTTCCATCTTAACTAAGCACTTAAGCAGTGTGGTCGTAACTTTTACAGCTTGAGGTGTGACAGCAAAACTAGCCTGTGTTTCTTTTGCTTTCTTCACATTTTATGGACAGATGAGTCACTCACCACGAGCTCAGCTATCTCAGCACACGGTTTGTTTCTTTCCTTATGAAGCTGAGAACTTCCACCTTTTCCTGCTTCTCTGGGGCAGACCCCAGTGGCCGGCTCACGCCCCCTGCACCTTGGATTAGTTACTCAGTAAAATAAGGGTGCGGGAACACCAGAGGTGACCCCTCGACGGCTGATGGTCGAGGGATCCTGAGCGACTGACAGGCAGGACGTGCGGGACGCGTGGGTGATCCCCACCACCGGCAGGTTGGGGCTGTGGGTATACGTACTCTGTACCTCTGAAACTTTTTATTTAATGTTTTCAGACCCCAGTTGACCACTGGTTACTGAAACCAGGAAAGCCAAGGCCATGGATGGAGGGTGGTGACTGCACTTTCACTGTTCCCATTTTAGCAGAGAAGATGCGGAAGGCTTGGGAAATGTCAGTTCCGGCTGCTGTATGACAGACCTCTCCATGTGCAAAGGTTGCAGCCGGGGGCTGTGGGCCCGTGGTTCTGTGACCCAGCTGGGCATCTCGGGGGCGGCTGCGCCCTGATGTCTGGTCAGGATGGCCCCCTGCCCCCGTCAGGGAAAGAGAGGCAGGGAGACCAGGCCTGATCTGGACAGAATGGCCCCCGGCCCCCGTCAGGGAGAGAGAGGCAGGAGACCAGGCCCTGTCCGGTCAGAACGGCCCCCTGCCCCCATCAGGGAGAGAGAGGTGGGGAGACCAGGCCCTGTCCAGTCAGAATGGCCCCCTGCCCCCATCAGGGAGAGAGAGGTGGGGAGACCAGGCCCTGTCCAGTCAGAATGGCCCCTGGCCCCCATCAGGGAGAGAGAGGTGGGGAGACCAGGCCCTGTCTGGTCAGAATGGCCCCCGGCCCCCCTCAGGGGGAAAGAGGCGGGGAGACCAGGCCTCATCTGGACAGAATGGCCCCCTGGCCCCCATCAGGGAGAGAGAGGAGGGGAGACCAGGCGTCTGGTCAGAATGGCCCCCTGCCCCCATCAGGGGGAAAGAGGCGGGGAGACCAGGGCCTGTCTGGTCAGAATGGCCCCCTGCCCCCGTCAGGGAGAGAGAGGTGGGGAGACCAGGCCTCATCTGGACAGAATGGCCTACTGGCCCCCATCAGGGAGAGAGAGGAGGGGAGACCAGGGCCTGTCTGGTCAGAATGGCCCCCTGCCCCCGTCAGGGAGAGAGAGGTGGGGAGACCAGGCCTCATCTGGACAGAATGGCCTACTGGCCCCCATCAGGGAGAGAGAGGAGGGGAGACCAGGCCCTGTCTGGTCAGAATGGCCCCCTGCCCCCATCAGGGGGAAAGAGGCGGGGAGACCAGGGCCTGTCTGGTCAGAATGGCCCCTGGCCCCCATCAGGGAGAGAGAGGTGGGGAGACCAGGCCTCGTCTTGACAGAATGGCCCCTGGCCCCCATCAGGGAGAGAGAGGTGGGGAGACCAGGCCTCGTCTTGACAGAATGGCCCCCTGTCCCCATCAGGGAGAGAGAGGTGGGGAGACCAGGCCTCGTCTTGACAGAATGGCCCCCTGTCCCCATCAGGGGGAGAGAGGCGGGGAGACCAGGCCCTGTCCAGTCAGAATGGCCCCTGGCCCCCATCAGGGAGAGAGAGGCGGGGAGACCAGGCCTCATCTGGACAGAATGGCCCCCGGCCCCCATCAGGGAGAGAGAGGTGGGGAAACCAGGCCTCGTCTTGACAGAATGGCCCCTGGCCCCCATCAGGGAGAGAGAGGTGGGGAGACCAGGCCTCGTCTTGACAGAATGGCCCCCTGTCCCCATCAGGGGGAGAGAGGCGGGGAGACCAGGCCCTGTCTGGTCCGAATGGCCCCCGGCCCCCGTCAGGGAGAGAGAGGCAGGGAGACCAGGCCCTGTCTGGTCAGAATGGCCCCCGGCCCCCGTCAGGGAGAGAGAGGCAGGGAGACCAGGCCCTGTCTGGTCAGAATGGCCCCCGGCCCCCGTCAGGGAGAGAGAGGCAGGGAGACCAGACCCTGTCTGGTCAGAATGGCCCCCGGCCCCCGTCAGGGAGAGAGAGGTGGGGAAACCAGGCCCTGACTGGTCAGAATGACCCCCTGTCCCCATCAGGGGGAGAGAGGTGGGGAGACCAGGCCTCATCTGGACAGAATGGCCCCCGGCCCCCGTCAGGGAGAGAGAGGCGGGGAGACCAGGCCTCGCCTGTGCCTTCCAGCAGGGCGGCAGGAGGGCTACAGGCAGAGGGAGAAGGAGCTTCTTGGGTCTCAGCCGTGAGTTCTGTCACTCTCCGAGCGGCCACCGCTGTCCTACAGCCAAGCCCAGAGTTGGTGAGAGGGTGTCCGTCAGGGAGGTGGAAAAAGGGAGGCAGGACCAACCAGGCGCCTCGACTGCAACCCCTGCCACAGAGAGGTTTAGTAACGTGACTGAAGAACACAGCTCCTGTGAGGAGGCCCGGAGTTTGAACCCAGACACCTCCCTGACCCCGAGTCACAAGGCAGGCAGACCGCAGAGCGTATGTTCCAGTTGCCCCAGTCGTTCCACTCCTCTTCTCACTCCTAGAAACGAAGGGGGAAAGCTGGCCTCCTCCTCCGCAAAGCAGATCTTTGGGGGACATAGGCTGGACGTTTTAGAGCCATGCTGAATGGTAGCTCAGCTGGGCCAGCTTCTGAAGGCCCTGCGTCGCCAGCGGCCTTGACTGTTCAAGGGACTCTGCTCCTACGTCCAGCTCAAGTTCAGAGTGAGCTTTCCTTCTCGGGGACACTGCCTGGAGCCCTCCATCTGACGGGATCCTGTAACATAAATGCAGAGTCGGGTTTCCGCGTGCCCCACCCCCGCCCTGCAGCTCCAGTCGCGTCCACTCCGCTCTCGCTGGACCGACGCTGGTGTGGAAAACAGGCTCCCGTCCAGGGCGGCTCTGGGACCCTGGCAATGACCCGCTGACACCTCTGCCCTTGAGGGCCGGGGTGTGGGACCCGCTGGAGGCCGGCTCCGTTTTCGAGAATGAGGCCCGGCATCTGCTAGGTTAATCTTTAATTACCCCACTTCCCTCTCCCAGTCCGCGTGTCCAAAATCTAATTATAGCGCCGGTGACGCCGTGACCAGCCGGAGCCAGAGCTACAAAGTCCTTCCAGCAGCTCTGAGGCTCTGCACGCTGGGCCCTCGGGTGTGAGGCTTAGAGTCTGGTCCCTCCATCGTGGCTGGAGCTCGGGGCAGGGGTGTGGGGGCTCCGTGTCTCACTTAGCCCCCAGGGTAGTGGAGGGGCACTGCTCCCGTCTCCGCCTTGCTGCCTTCCTTCTGCAATTTCAATCTGGAAGCTCAGCATCTGTTTGGAAGATTCTCCCCTCTGACTGGGCCTCCCTGGTAGCTCAGATGATAAAGAATCCGCCTGCAATGCAGAAGATGTGGGTTTGATCCCTGGGTCTCGAAGGGCCCCTGGAGAAGTGAATGGCTACCCGCTGCAGTAGTTTTGCCTGGAGAATTCTCACTTTATTCCCTGTAAACCCAAGAACCCCATGGACAGAGGAGCCTGGCGGGTTACAGTCCACGGGGTTGCGGAGAGTCCGACAGGGCTGAGTGACCGACACTTTGACCAGTTTTATGGGGTCTGGAGCCCCACACCGGGACTCCTGGGTGATGGCCCTGCAGAGGGAGCTGGCCTGGCGAGTGGGGAGGTCCTTGTGGTGGCCGTAGCACCATTTCCACCGGATTCAGAGACCTTGTCAGACCTTAGGAGAGTTTTGCGGACCAGCCCATAAACCTCTTCAGAGCCCTTCACTGAGACTTCAGCATGAAAGCAATCCCGCTGCTTGGTCGGGTCTTGGCTTCGACACTCCCGAGGGGGTCTGGGCTTGCGGGAAAACTGTGAGAGAAGCCTGCCAGAAGTCGGGAGAGAGGGCAAGTGCAGGTAGAGCCAGGCCTCCGAGCTCGGGCGCGCCGCCGCTCCGGGAAAGCGCGCCCGCCCCACTGGCGGGCCGGGCATCCTGGTGCTCTCGCTGGCGCGGAGGCGCGAGGAGATTGCGCTCCGAGGGCGGAGCGGGCCGCCTCCGTTTCCAGAAGCTGCAGGGGGCGCTCCGGCTCTCCGGGCGGGCGTCCGGCGCTCCCTATGGGCTCCAGGGTCACCTTGCTGGAGCCTGGCGTGTGAGCCGCGCGCGGAAACCACGGTCGGGCTGATGGAGACCTGCTCGGGATTTTCCGAGCCGCCACAGCACCAGGAGGAGCCCAGACCATAACGGCTTAAACTGCCTGGTGGGCAGGGGTCCTGGGGCCCTGGGCCGGGGTCCTGCAGCTTCCAGAAGCCCCACTCAGCCCTGGGGATGCTCTCCTAGGGGTTCGCCGGCCGGAGCCCAGTGTCTCTCCACCCGCAAAGCTGTCTTCATACAGTCCCCAAGGCAGGGGGTTGGGGACTCTGTCATAGAAATGATTGTGGTCCCCTCCCCTGGGAAAAGTGAAAGTGAAGTCGCTCAGCCGTGTCCGGCTCTTTGCGACCCCATGGACAATAGCCTACCTACCAGGCTCCTCCGGCCATAGGAATTTCCAGGCAAGAATACTGGAGTGGGGTGCCATTTCCTCCTCCAGGGGATCTTCCTGACCCAGAGATGGAACCCGGGTCTCCTGCATTGCAGGTAGACGCTTTACCCTCTGAGCCACTAGGGAAAATGCCCCTGGGACCTGACCACAGGTAATAGCACCAGAATCACAGATCCCTGGAGAGAGCTGTTCGGCCTGAGTCCGGAGCCATGCAGGTCAGGGAGAGACTCTAGTGCAGGGAACCCTTCGCTAGCACGGCCCTCATCCCAAGGAGCCCCCCGCAGTGGGCAGTGTTGCCCCCGTCCCAAACCCCAGCTTCCTGGGGAGACTGCAGGTGAGAAGGGCTGATGGGGTCTTGGCGCTCCCCTTAATTTTCTGTCTCAAGTTCAGAGGCATCTTTACAACTGTTGAGTAGAAAACGAGCATCCTCAAGAATTCATCCCTGAGTGTTTGGTATGAATGCAGCTGACCGCGGAAATCAGTGCCAATAGTGACAGGAGTGGGCAGAGTTTTTTCTCACCTGGCTCTGAGCTGTGGGTGGCGGTGTCGTGATGGCAGGACACTCATTCTTGGGGACAGTGTCAGAACCAGAGAGAAAACGGCTTGATTTCCAGGTTCCAGGTTGAGCCCGCCAGGCTGGTGGGGAAACTCTATTGCTTTGTCAACAAAGCAAATTTGATTCCAAAGTTTCCAAGAGAGAAAAAAATCCAGGTCCTTTTATGTCACTTTTAATATAATGGTACTTTAATAACTCTGACATCTCTCTATATCATTCCAGAATTTTAACACATCACTTCAGTGTGGACCGCTAAGCCACATTTCTTAAGAGAAAATTCTTTAAAAGTAATATGTAGAGTTCATGTGTTGTGTATATGCATGCATGTCTGTGCCTGTATTTGCATTCATATGAGTGCATACGTGTGGATGTGTATTCCTGTGTGTGAACATGCATGCGTGTGTTTATGTAGGGATGTGTATTTACTGCTTTGGGTTGTATGACTTTTAAACTGCTTGTTACAAGAGGGGAAGAGTTTGTGTTTTATAAGTATGATAGCAGCCATGAGTGATTAACCCTTTTCTCCATCCAAGTTGGGGGCTTCCATGGTGGCTCAGTGGTAGACAATCCACCTACCGATGCAGGAGACACAGGTTTAATCCCTCAGTTGGGAAGATCCCCTGGAAAAGGAAATGACAGCCTATCCCAGTATCCTTGCCTGGGAAATCCCATGGACAGAGGATCCTGGCAAGCTACGGTCCACGGGCTCCTAAAGAGTCAGACACAGCTTAGCGACTAAACAACAACAAATATCCAAATTGAGACTTCCCTTCAGAAGACGTAGAATGAACTCAGGTCGTTTTTTATGACACCCAAATTATTTTCAGCTGAAACGGCATCCACAAATTTCAAGTACCCCCTCACCCCTCAGGACCCAGCATACAGATTGGCAGGGCGGGGTTGCTGTGTGGGGCTGGAAGAGACCATGTAAGCAACCTTTGAGTCACTGACTGCCGGGGGCCCTGGGTGCCATCTCTGGATGGCTTCACTGAGACTCGCAGCTGATTAGATATTAAGGTCAGGTGCTAAGAAATCAAGGTCACGCCACATTGCATTTTTCTCAAACAGCTGGGCCCAGATAAGTTAGGCAGTGGGGGACAGCGTCAAACAGATAAGGTGGCCGTTTTTAACAATCTTAAAATATTGTTCCAGCAAGAAAGGGCCTGATAAGATCAAAGCCTTTGGAATTATTTAACTGGTGCTGAGCTTTCTTTTTGTCCTTCATGTCCCCCAAATCTCCCCCTTCCTGTCACCTCTCTTCACCACACACACGCACACACACACACCCCGAGGCAGCCACCAGTCCTCTGATGTCCTCTGACATTTTCCAAAATATGCTGTTATACAGATAGGCTTTTGAATTTGAATTCAGGAAGCACTCATGATTTCTTCCCCCGTCCTCAGACTGAGTTGATTTATGGCCTGGATTACGCAAACAGTAATTCTTTGCTCTTTATGATGTTTTGGAGGAAGGTGCGGTAGCCTGCAGTCAGAGCAGCATGATTTCAACAAGGTTTTTACAAAAAGGCCTCTGCAGTGAGGGTGGCTGTGCGTTGGACAGCTTCTGTAAGAGAGTGGTTAATAAGACACCAGTGCATTAATCATGTGACGGCTATCGGGTTGAGCAGGGAAAGCCACTGGCTTTTGAAAACAGCAATTTGGGTTACTGCTGTGTGGAAAGAGTCTGGCTGAACACACTGGTTTTAACCCATCGTCACCAGTTGCTCAGGAGCTGTCATTTTTCACAGACATCACTTCAGGTTTCTCAAATGTTCAATAAACCTAATGAAGCCACTGATCCCGTCTCTTATCTTCTATTTCAATGCCACTTTTCAAAGCCAGGCACATATGGAGGAATAAGTCAGTTATCTAGTCACTCTGGAAAAACTGTCGAGTCATTCTGAAAATTTTCTGGACAGCGAGTAAGCTCATCGACTTTACCATCTAGAACTGGGCACTCTACAAGCTTTGCTGTCAGGAAAGCCTCAAACCCAAAGGCATGATTGGCTAGTTGAAACAGAAATTGGTGATCCCTCTTAAGAGACATGGAATTTATCCTATGGAAGTTGGCGTCCAAATACATATTGGGATTTCTCTTCTTTGGACATGTAAACATTTATAGTACAAAGCTTAAGAAATAAAATGAAAGTGATTTCATGAATTCCATCATGGAAAGCAACACTTATTGGTGTGAATGTTGTCAGAAATAGAAACAGTACATTTTGGAATCAGGCAGTGGTTAACTTTTGTTTTCAGTCATTTTGAGAGTGTTTCAGTAGTGGATTTTTGGACAATTACAATCTACAAGAGGCTACAAAGGTGCAGTGGGAATAAACCACACCTTTTGTTCTGAAGTGGAGGAAAGTGTGATAATTATTTGAAAGAGTCAGGATTTAGGAAATTAAAGTCATGGCTGCTGAAACAGAACAGCCCACATTCAAATTTTGGTTCCAAATGTTTCTAGCTATTTGTTCTTAGGCTAATTATTACATAATCTTTCTGTGCCCTAGTTTCCTTGTTAAAATGTGCGTAATGACAGACCTGTATTCATAAGGTTGCCACTAGAATTTAAAAGAGCACATTATGATAATAAATTTATTTAGGAAAACAAACCTAAGACAGTGTTTTGCACATAGTGAACTCTCAGGAGGTACGTTTAGATATATCCACATGATAGAATATAATGTGTTAGTTAAAGATGATGGCATAGCTGTGGGTTTAGGGTCACAGGAAAGTGTTCATGGTATATTGTTAAAGGGAAAAGTTTACAGAATAGTTTTTACAGACAAGCATTTGTGCAAATTCCTAACAGTGTGATTTGAAAGGAGTTATAAAACAATAAATGTTTTAGTTCTCTATCAGATTGGAAAAAATTTAAAAAATAAAACCATTACCCTATGTTGGCCCTGGGGTGAGAATTAGGCTCACCTAATAGAGCTCCTAATTAGAGCTCCCTCATAGCTCAGTTGCTAAAGAATCTGCCTGCAGTGCAGGAGACCCCAGTTCAATTTCTGGGTCAGGAAGGTCCCCTGGAGAAAGGAAAGGCTACCCACTCCAATATTCTGGCCTGGAGAATTCCATGGATTGTATAGGCCATGGGGTCGCAAAAAAGTCGGACACGACTGAGAGCCTTTCACTTTTCACTGCATGGTTGGTGAAAGAATGCATTAGTATATCCTTTTTCTTAATTAATTTTTTAATTGGAGGATAATTACTTTACAATATTGTGGTGGTTTTCGCCATACAAGTATATCTTTTCTGGAGAGCAACTGGAAATGGGTAGCAAATATCTTATTTGGTTTTTGGTATCTCCCTCTCACTTTCCAAAATTTATATCAAGAAAATAATCATTGATATATGAAAAGATGCATCTGTGCAATTGAATACTATAGCCCAAGAAAATGAACAAATTATAGTTACATGCAATAAGTGAATTTCAAAATCATAAAGTTTGGTGAGAAAAGCCAGGCAGAAGACTACATCATCTATATAATTAAAATATATTATAATTAAAACAATTATATAAGCACATTAATTAACATATATAAATGTTTTAATTATAAATTATTACTGTATAATATTAGTATGATGGATTTAAAAAATCACTCTGTGTTTCATAAAGTTCAAAAGCAGTCAAAGTTAAATCCAAGGTATTAGAAGTCAGGATAGTAGTTGTCTTTGAAGAGGGGAGAAATGATAGTGGTGGAAAAATGGCAAAAAGAGGATCTGAAACCTGGTAGTATTCAATTTCTTGATCTTAAGTAGTGGTCACAAAGCTATCATTGTTTATACAAGAAAGGAAATGCCGTTCCTGTTCACTAACCATGGTCTGCTTAGGTATATTTTTATATCCATATTTTATTACTTTGTATTAATTAAATTAATAAACTTGCCAACATGGAAATTCTAGATTGATTAATTCTATATTTATCAATATAGAACTATATTAGCTGTACAGTAAACAGAAAACTTGTTATGCAACACACACATAGTAGAGAGATGATCTCACTGTATTATAAAGACAATAAACAACATATATGTAAACGTAGTCATAACATATGCTGGAAAGGGATGCAAAAATAGCTCAGAGAGTATCTACAGGCAGTGGCCGCAAAGGTGATGTCTGCTTTTGCTTTTATATTCAGTATCTTCTGGAGGTTTGGCAGAGATCCCACAGTGGAGACAGAAAACAAGCTCTTCACGTCCCTCTCGGGCCAAGCCTTCCCATGGAGACCACTGTGTCACTCTTGCCCCCACCCTTCATGGGCGTCCAAGACAGCTTCAAGTTCTGCTCATATTGTTCCCTGTGTGGACTTGGGGCTCCCTCCTGTACCCATAGTCAGGTCACGTCTCCTCTGTGTGTGAGCTGTGTGTCCATGTCCACGTTTGATCCCACCAGCGTCCTGTCTTCTGTTCCCTCTTACTCACCCTGTGCCCACATGAATGTCGCCTCCTCACACGCGGTTGTTTCATCAAGTTCCATATAGTACAGTTCAGTTGCTCAGTCGTGTCCGACTCTTTGTGACCCCATGGACCGCAGCATGCCAGGCCTCCCTGTCCATCACCAACTCCTGGAATTTATCCAAACTCATGTCCATCGAGTCGGTGATGCCATCCAACCATCTCATCATCTGTCGTCCCCTTCTCCACCTGCCTTCAATCTTTCCCAGCATCAGGGTCTTTTCAAATGAGTCAGCTCTTCACATCAAGTGGCCAAAGTATTGGAGTTTCAGCTTCAGCATCAGTCCTTCCAATGAATATTCAGGACTGATTTCCTTTAGGATGGACTGGTTGGATCTCTTTGCAGTCCAAGGGACTCTTAAGAGTCTTCTCCAACACCACAGTTCAAAAGCATAAATTTTTCGGTGCTCAGCTTTCTTCACAGTCCAACTCTCACATCCATACATGACCATTGGAAAAACCATAGCCTTGACTAGATGGACCTTTGTTGGCAAAGTAATGTCTCTGCTTTTTAATTTGCTGTCTATGTTGGTCACAACTTTCCTTCCAAGGAGTAAGCGTCTTTTAATTTCCTGGCTGTAATCACCATCTGCAGTGATTTTGGAGCCCCCCCCCCCAAATAAAGTCAGCCACTGTTTCCACTGTTTCCCCATCTATTTGCCATGAAGTGATGGGACCAGATGTCAAAATCTTAGTTTTCTGAATGTTGAGCTTTAAGCCAACTTTTTCACTCTCCTCTTTCACTTTCATCAAGAGGCTCTTCTGTTCTTCACTTTCTGCCATAAGGGTGGTGTCATCTGCCTATCTGAGGTTATTGATATTTCTCCCGGCAAACTTGATTCCAGCTTGTGCTTCCTCCAGCCCAGCATTTCTCATGATGTCCTCTGCATATAAGTTAAGTAAGCAGGGTGACAATATTCAGCCTTGACGTACTCCTTTTCCTATTTGGAACCAGTCTGTTGTTCCATGTCCAGTTATAACTGTTGCTTCCTGACCTGCGTATAGATTTCTCAAGAGACAGGTCAGGTGGTCTGGTATTCCTATCTCTTTCAGAATTTTCCACAGTTTATTGTGATCCACACAGTCAAAGGCTTTGGCATAGTCAATAAAGCAGAAATAGATGTTTTCTGGAACTCTCTTGCTTTTTCGATGATCCAGCAGATGTTGGCAATTTGATCTCTGGTTCCTCTGCCTTTTCTAAAACCAGCTTGAACATCTAGAAGTTCCTGGTTCACATATTGCTGAAGCCTGGTGTAAAGAATTTTAAGCGTTATTCTACTAGCATGTGAGATGAGTGCAATTGTGTGGTAGTTTGAGCATTCTTTGGCATTGCCTTTCTTTGGGATTGGAATGAAAACTGACCTTTTCCAGTCCTGTGGCCACTGCTGAGTTTTCCTAATTTGCTGACATGTTGAGTGTAGCACTTTCATAGCACCATCTTTTAAGATTTGAAATAGCTCAACTGAAATTCCATCACCTACACTAGCTTTGTTCATAGTGATGCTTCCTAAAGCCCGCTTGACTTCACATTCTAGGATGTCTGGGTCTCGGTGAGTGATCACACCATCATTATTATCTGGGTCATGAAGATCTTTTTTGTACAGTTCTTCCGTGTATTCTTGTCACCTCTTCTTAATATCTTCTGCTTCTGTTAGGTTCATACCATTTCGGTCCTTTACTGAGCCCATCTTTGCATGAAATGTTCCTTTGGTATCTCTAATTTTCTTGAAGAGATCTCTAGTCTTTCCCATTCTACTGTTTCCCTCTATTTCTTTGCACTGATGACTGAGGAAGGCTTTCTTATCTCTCCTTGCTATTCTTTGGAACTTTGCATTCAAATGGGAATATCTTTCCTTTTCTCCTTTGCTTTTGCCTTCTCTTCTTTTCACAGCTATTTGCAAGGCCTCCTCAGACAGCCATTTTGCTTTTTTGCATTTCTTTTTCTTGAGGATGGTCTTGATCCCTGTCTCCCACACAATGTCACGAACCTTTGTCCATAGTTCATGAGGCACTCTATCAAATCTAGTCCCTTAAATCTATTTCTCGCTTCCTCTGTATAATCATAAGGAATTTGATTTAGGTTATACCTGAATGGTCTGGTGGTTTTCCCCACTTTCTTCAATTAAGTCTGAATTTGGCAATAAGGAGTTCATGATCTGAGCCACAGTCAGCTCCTGGTCTTGTTTTTGCTGACTGTATAGAGCTTCTCCATCTTTGGCTGCAAAGAATATAATCAATCTGATTTTGGTTTCATCAAGTCCTCCTGTCAAATATTATTCTCATTCATTGCCTGCTCTCTTATTTCTCCAAGACAGTTACTAGCATTTACAATTTCACCTGGAGTTTGGAGTTAATTTTTACCTGCTTTCCTGATGGCTTCCTCCAGTCTCTACTTTTACTTGGTGGTGAGCGTGTCTGTTCTGTTCGTTCTCCCAGAGCAGAACTCGTGTGTCACCCAGGAATACATTGAGTAAAAGAAACCAAGAAAGATATTTGAAAACATAACCAGTAAGTTATTGAAATTAAAAATGAAACATCACCTTGTAATAGAAAAAGGAATGAAATAAAATAAGTTGCCATTAAATAAGAGCAAAATAAATTATTGCTAAAATGATATTCTACAAGAATTTTTATGACATGGAAATCGGTTTGTGATTTATTATTAAACGAAGAAGGAAGTTCAAAGGAAAGTGAGAATATGAGTCTATTTGTGTGAAAAATAGATGAATATATCCAGGCAGAGAGTGGTTTGGGAATAAATGTGTGTAAAGCATTCTCAGGAGCTATGTATGATGAGATAATGGATGCGTTTAAAATCTTTAAAGAAATTTTGCTTATCTTTATTTTCTCAAACATGCATTGCTATAGTAATAAAAACACAATGAATGTTATTTCTAATTAAAAATACTAAAGCAAGCTCCTTTGTTATGTGTTTACACAGCACGAAGCTGCAACCCATTCAGAAGGGTGCTTCTTTCGCCACTCCAGTTGTGGCCAAGGTATGTCAGGCACTTTGGAGCTTGCCTTCCAGTGGGTCTTGTCAAAGTTGCACTCCCAACCCTTGACCTAGCCCCAGACCACCTGGAAACGACACTTCCTCTGGCTCCACGGCGTGGGGCCGCTCTGATTTCTCAGAGCAACATTTCGCCCAGTGCCTGAGATGCTCTACAGAATTCTGTTCTTTGAGATGCTCTTGTGATGTTCGCATCCTTGGGTGTCGCTGACGTTTACACACTTGTGAGCGTGTGCCATCACCCTGCGGTGTGGTCCAGAGCTGGAAGCCCATGGAGACGGAGTTGGGGCCCAGCCTGGCCCACGGCCACCTCCTGACGCCCAGGTGTGCAGGGGGCGGCCGGGACCCCGGGCCATCAAGCAGGAGGGCAGGGACAGCCAGCTGTCCAGATCTCAGGTCAGTTCCCAGAACAGCACACTCCAGACGCTGGGCAGAATGGTGGACGCTGTACATTGGGTTCACTCTTCCCCAGGGAGAGGAAAGCTGAAGGGGAGAATCAAGGTCCTCTGGAGGGTCCTGGGGCACGTAAGGGGCGTGCCGTGCGGGAGGGCCTTTAACTGCAGGGCTTTGGGGTCCCCGCAGCAGTGTTCCTTGCAGAGTGGCGACCTTCCTCTTCCGAGGAGTTTTATGATGTTCCAACAACCGGCCTGACGAACTGACGCTGTGAAATAGGGAGTGCTTTCGTCACGTTGAACCAACTACAATTTTATGTAGCTAAATCTTCACAGGTGATTTTCTTAGGGCTGGAAGAAAAAGAAGAGCTGCGTGTGTTTGCTCCCAGCTCTCTGCCGTCCCCCTCTCGCCCCCTGTGAGGGCACGGCGGCAGTTCGGCCTTCTGATGAGCTAAGAGCTCCTTTCATCGCGGGGCCGCCCCAGCACGGGCCTCGGCAGTGAGTTGCCATCGCTCACACATTCCAGGAATCCTCATTAGCTGGGAAAGATGGGACCGTGTTTGTCTTCCACATTCCAGGCCGGCGGAGACACTCTCTTTCCGAGAGCGAGCGAGCCGGGCGTGTTTGTGTTGCGGCACCATCACCCCAGGCTGTTGAGTAAAGCAAACACGCAGCCCCGATTGGGGTCAAGGCTGATGCGGGGCGGCCTCGTGGGGGCAGTCAGCCTTGTCTCCCAGGGCTTCGGTGCCGTCAGCATGTTCCAGTTGCCTGCGTGCAAGAGGTGTTCAGGAATTCCGTGGATTACTGAACTGCTTCTTCTAGACTGGATTTGTGAACAGTCTGAGGAAGGTCCAGGAAGAGGTGAACCCACAACCTGTGTCTGGGAGGTTTCCAGGGCACATGCCAGGCACGATGCAATGTGGTGAGTTAGGAAACTTCAAAGCAAGACTTTTCCTTCTTCCTTTAATCTATGAAATGGCAAGGTGTATTTCACAGATTGAGCACACTCACTGATACTCTCCCTGGGGTTTCTTTGGAGACCACGTCCTGTGTTACACGTTGGCTGGCCAACCTCTGTGCTTCTGATCACCTTCTGTCCCATTTGTGCTGGAGTGTATCTCAGTGATGTGGTTTTGAAGCCACTTCCCATCGTGTTCATAATCATGATGTCATCTGACATAACTATTCTATGTGTCGACTCGGGAACTGCGGGTGTTTGCAGAGATTAGGGGGTACATGGGGTCATTGGCCCAAGAGGGAGTTGGGAGAAGGCCAGTGTCCCCCCAAACAGCAGCCACACGAGGCCGTCAGAGGCTGTGAGCACAAACCACAGTGGAACCAGGTGGCTCACCAGCCCACTGATGACCTAGGCAAGCGCTGGAAGTCACCATGGAGCGGGTTGGGAAACCAACCTGTTGTAACAACTATCTCTCTTATAACCACAGATGCAAAATTCCTAAATTAAATATTGGCAACCAAACTCCAAAAATGTGTCCCCTGGATTTCATATATTTAACTAGGCATGATTTCAGTAAGGTAGGGTTGATTCTCTATCAGGAAATCTCTACACAATTCACCTCATCATCCAATTGAAGGAGAAAAAGTATGATTGTATAGACTCACTCCAAAGACATGTGATGACATTTAGCAGGTATTCCTAATAAAATGTCTAAGTAAATCAGAACTAGAAGGAAACAGCCTAAACTTGAAAGAAACTATTTGCAAAAAGTCAACAGCAAATAAATTTCCAAAGGATAAAATGCTAAACTAATTTCCTCAAAACTAGAACAAGATGGAGAAATTTACCATTGCTATTATTACTGATATTTCTAAGAAACCTGATAAGAAAACCAAATAATTTTTAGAACCTTGTAGAGATAAAGTTATTCTTCTTCTTGATGATATGAGTTCTTGTCTATAATATCAAACTCCTTATATTTTATGAAGTGGAGCAATACTGAAATCCTAGAAATATATCCCAGTAAATTATGGAAACTTGAGAAAGGAGTGAATTCAGTGAAAACAGGGGAGACTCTTTACTAAAAGTGCTGGTAGAAGTGATTCTCTGTCTAAAATGAAATTAGCTTGGATTCTCTCTCTCTCATGATACATGAAATAGTAAGTGGATCAAGTACTTAAAGGTAAAAATTATAAAGCAAAAATTAGACAAGTGGTATGTTAAAAGTGAAAAAGATTGGGTCTTTATAATCAAGGTAGTATTTTGGATTCTTTTTTTGACCATGATGGCTACTCCATTTCTCCTAAGGGATTCCTGACCACAGTAGTAGCTATAATGGTCATCTGAGTTAAATTCACCCATTCCAGTCCATTTTAGTTTGCTGATTCCTAGAATGTTGACGTTCACTCTTGCCATCTCCTATTTGACCACTTTCAATTTGCCTTGATTCATGGACCTAACATTTCAGGTCCCTATGCAATGTTGCTCTTTACAGCATCGGCCCTTGTTTCTATTACCAGTCCCATCCACAACTGGGTGTTGTTTTTGCTTTGGCTCCATCTCTTCATTCTTTCTGGAGTTATTTCTCCACTGATCTCCAGTAGCATATTGGGCACCTACCGACCTGGGGAGTTCCTCTTTAGTATCCTATCATTTTGCCTTTTCATACTGTTCATGGGGTTCTCAAGGCAAGAATACTAAAGTGGTTTGCCATTCCCTTCTCTAGTGGACCACGTTCTGTCAGACCTCTCCACCATGACCCGTCCGTCTTGGGTGGCCCCACACGGCCTGGCTTAGTTTCATTGAGTCAGACACGGCTGTGGTCCTGTGAGCAGATTGGCTTGTTTTCTGTGACTGTGGTTTCCGTGTTTGCCCTCTGATGCCCTCTCGCAACACCTACCGTCTTACCTGGGTTTCTCTTACCTTGGATGAGGGATATCTCCTCATGTCTGCCCCTCCTCAAATAGGTCAAGGAGTACGTCAAGGCTGTATATTGTCACCCTGCTTATTTAACTTATATGCAGAGTACATCATGAGAAATGCTGGGCTGGAGGAAGCACAAGCTGGAATCAAGATTGCTGGGAGAAATATCAATAACCTCAGATATGCAGATGACACCACCCTTATGGCATAAAGTGAAGAGGAACTAAAAAGCCTCTTGATGAAAGTGAAAGAGGAGAGTGAAAAAGTTGGCTTAAAGCTAAGATCATGGCATCTGGTCCCATCACTTCACGGGAAATAGATGAGGAAACAGTGTCAGATTTTATTTTGGGGGGCTCCAAAATCACTGCAGATGGTGATTGCAGCCTTGAAATTAAAAGACACTTACTCCTTGGAAGGAAAGTTATGACCAACATAGATAGCAAATTAAAAAGCAGAGACATTACTTTGCCAAAAAAGGTCCATCTAGTCAAGGCTATGGTTTTTCCAGTGGTCATGTATGGATGTGAGATTTGGACTGTGAAAAAAGCTGAGCACCGAAGAATTTATGCTTTTGACCTGTGGTGTTGGAGAAGACTCTTGAGAGTCCCTTGGACTCCAAGGACATCCAGCCAGTCCATCCTAAAGGAGATCAGTCCTGGGTGTTCATTGGAAGGACACTGAAGCTGAATCTCCAATACTTTGGCCACCTCATGCGAAGAGTTGACTCATTGGAAAAGACCTTGACACTGGGAGGGATTGAGGGCAAGAGGAGAAGGGGATGACAGAGGATGATTTGGCTGGATGGCATCACTGACTCGATGGACATGGGTTTGAGTAAACTGTGGGAGTTGGTGATGGACAGAGAGGCCTGGTGTGCTGTGATTCATGGGGTCGCAAAGAGTCAGACACGACTGAGCGACTGAACTGAACTGAACTGAACTGAATCAAGGTAGCAAATCCAAAGGCCATAAAAGACATAATAAATGTACTTAACATATTTGACTACTTAAAAATAAAACACTTTTTGGAAAGCAAAGACACCATACACTCAGTCAACTGTCAAACAAAAGACAGAGGATGAACACTGCGCTCGAGGGAGGTTGAGAGGTTAAGCTGGAAGGGAGAGAAAGGGTTAAAATTCACAATTATATAAACATTTACAAATGATCATGTAGTAAATTGTGATAACATTAATGCAAATAATCCAGAAGAAAATAGGCACAGGACATGGGTGGCCAAGATAAACAAATCCATGTAGCCTGCAAACACACAATATGATATTCAACCTTTTTCCCAGTGAGAGAAATTCAAACCAGAGCAATCAATTGCACTGTATATGCACCAGAAAAAAAAAAAAAATTTAAACCTGGCTCCAATGTGGGAAAACTGTGTGCTCACAAATTTTTAGTGAAAATGTGAATTGTTTCATCCTTCTTGGAAAGTAACCTGGAAACTTCTGTTAACATTTAAACTAATATCCTTGACATAGCAGTGCCATGGGAACCAATTTCATGGAAATAAAATATCAGACTGTAAGGTCATATTTACAGGACCGTTTAGTGCAGCACACTTAACAAGATCAAATCCCACATCAGTGCCAATTAATATGGAAATGATTAAACAAAATTTGGTACTCTTCTACAATGAACTATTATACAATTTTTTAAAATAACGAGATTGATCTTTTCCAACAATTTGGAGGAAATCTCACTATGTACCATTAAATGAGAAAAATTAAGACTGGGAGAAGTTTAATAACAAGTAATACTTTTTTCTAAAAAAGAAACTACAGTGGATTGACTTATATATAGCCCCACCAAGTGAAGTTGCTCATTCATGTCTGACTCTTTGTGACCCCATGGACTGTAGCCTGCCAGGTTCCTCCATCCATGGGGTTTTCTAGGCAAGAATACTGGAGTGGGTTGCCATTTCCTTCTCCAGGGGATCTTCCCGGCCTAGGGATCAAACCTGTGTCCTACATACTTCAGGCAGACTGTTTACTGTCTGAGCCACCACTGTGTCCAATTCTCAGCTGCCCAATCTGTGAGCGTGACCTTATTTAGAAGTACAGTCTTTGCAGGTACAGTTGTGGTAAGGCTCTGGAGATGAGATTATTTTAGATTCAAGATGAGCCCCACATCCACTGACTGTGTGGATCACAACAAACTGTGGAAAATTCTTAAAGAGAAGGGAATACCAGACCACCTAATCTGCCTCCTGAGAAACCTATATGTAGGTCAAGAAGCAGTAGTTAGAATTGGACATGGAACAGTGGACTGGTTCAAAACTGGGAAAGGAGTATGTCAAGGCTGTGTATTGTCAGCCTGCTTATTTAACTTACATGTCGAGTACATCTTGGGAAATGTCGGTCTCGATGAATCACACACTGGAGTCAAGATTGCTGGGAGAAATCTCAACAATCTCAAATATGCAGATGATAGCACTCTGAAGGCAGAATGTGAAGAAAAACTAAAGAGCCTCTTGAGGAAGGTAAAAGAGGAGAGTGAAAAAGCTGGCTTAAACCTCAACATTCAAAAAGCAAAAACCATGGCATCCAGTTTAATCACTTAATGGCAAATAAAAGAGGAAAGAGTGGAAGCGGTGACAGATTTTACTTTCTTGGGCTCCAAAATCTCTGTGGATGGTGACTGAAGCCATGAGATTAAAAGACACTTGCTTCCTGGAAAGAAAGCTGTGACAAACCTAAAGTGGAAATGAAGTCTCTCAGTCGTGTCCAGTGCTTTGTGATCCCATGGACTGTAGCCTGCCAGACTCCTCCATGCCTGGGATTTTCTAGGCAAGAATACTGGAGTGGTTTGCTATTCCTTCTCCAGGGGATCTTCCAGACCCAGGGATTGAGCCCAGGCCTCCTGCAC